TGTGATATTGTTTAGAGATGTAGGAAGTGGTTTTGATTTTGTGATTTTTGTCTCTGAGCAGCAAAGGATGTATCTATCGCTTGTAATAGACTTGGTAAGTTCTAATACTTTTGCACGGCTGTTGAGACCTCTGACGTTGAGGTAGATAACATAATGAGATTTTTAAGAGGCGTTATAATAGAGTTTGTTTGAGAATGGATTGATTTAATAGGTATGAAAGACAAGGGAGTGATAGTTGATGTGCTAGTTAATAACGAATGACTTGGGTTAATCATTGTATGCATTATTTATATAAGTTTTGGTAAGAGAGTCAGAATTGGGTCAGGTGACTCAGGTTCAATTAGAAATTCTGGCGGTAGTTTCTCGAAGTGAAATATTTTTCTAAGGGCATTAAGTTTGTTCATGAGTAATCCATCTTCAATTATTGAAAGGGTTATTGTATTGCTTTCAGATTTGAGGATGGTTTGAGCTTCCTCGAGATTGAGAAGGTCTGGTAGGATCAGTGTTATCCATTGTTTTGGAATACGACCAAAGTATTTTTCTTTAATTATTTTGATAGTTACAGTGAATTCAGGATGTTCTCTATTCAACTTGTTGCTGGTTATTTCGAGCTCTTCTTTTACTTGAGAAAAGTTACTTGGGATGTGAGGCTTTTCACTCTGGATTAAACCTTCCTTGATCCACTCAGGTCCAATGGGAAGTTTGAAAAAGAATTCGGTTTTTAATTGCCTAATAAAACCTTTGATCTCGTCTTGATTGTTAATAGGAAGGATAATTCCATAATTTTCGCTGTATCAGTGTACTGGTGGAAGAGGTCTTTTGGTTATGATGTAGTCTGCCGGTAGTTTTTTTACAGCCTAAGATTCATTCCTCAAAATTTGCACAGCTTCTTTGATGTCAGCAACATTGTTGCTTACTAGGAAGTAACCAATCAGGTTTTTTAGAAGGTCTTTATAGGATGGAGGGAGCGGTTCCTTTGGAGGCGGAAGGCAGAAGTATAATTCGGGAAGCTTATTTGACACGTAATAGTACTCTCACAGTTTGTCGACTAGTGATCGGAGGTTTCTAAGATCTACTCTCTTTGTCAGAAGGAAAATGCCTTGTACTTCAACTTTCAAATGAGATAGGTTCTCTGGAAGATTGGGCCTTTTAACAAAATATGAAGAGGAAAGCAGATCAAAATTGTAGTATGCTCTAAGACACTGTGCAATTTCTCTTGTATGTTTGGGTGAAGTGATGGGGATGGCTTTAGGAAGCTTGATTTTGATAGAGGCGGGGATTAAATCGGGTGAGGCTGGGAGATTAGGTAGTTTCATATTGATAAGTTCTTCGTATTTATTATAAAGGTCCTGATAATTTATTTTTGGAAGTGAAGGATCAAAAAAGAAATTAAAGCCATATTTGAGTAGTTGAGCAGCTTGTCAGTAGCTGAGTTTTGTGAGGTCAAAGGACCTGATGTAGGCTGCAAAAAGAGCTTTGTTGATGAAAACTCTAATTTTTTTTCTGGTCGTTTTGGTAATATAACCAATATTGTTGGCATTAAGGTAATTGACTTTGAATTCACCCTCAATTTTTTCGTATTCCACTTGGTGCTGTCCTTTAATCAACTCTTCTTTAGCGAATGTTTTGAAAAAGTCTTGGTCTCTGTGACCTATTTTTGAAAAGATGGCCTTTAGGGAAGATCTCGGGTATCCTCTAGGTTCGTCTCTGAATTTTAAGAAAAGATTGATAATGGCTTCTGGGGATCGATCACATAAGGTAATTTCATTACAAAAATCAAGGATCTTTTGCTGTTCATCTTCTGGTGATGTTAAATGAATATCATTGGATGGGTTATTAGTGGATAGTGTAGCTGGTGTGGTTTCAATATCATCCGCCCATGATTGAGTGTCTATTAAGTCTTCTTTTTGTGATTGGGTCAATGGTAGGTGGTCATCAATTTCCATTTCAAAGTCTGTTTGGGCCTCGTGCGATGACAAAATATGGCTTACGTTAGTTGTTTCATAATAATCTGTGTTTGTGTTGTCTAATGGTAATATGCGTTCAGGAGTGGAGGCAGGAATTGTAGCTAGAGAAGAATCAAGCTGCATGATATTGTTATTGATCATCATATCATAATCAATCCTTTCCTCAATAGGTGCAGGAGTGTTTAGAGGAAGTAAGGGAGTTTTGGTTTTTCTGTTCAGTGTGAAAGTATTTTGTTTTTCATCAGTAAGGATTTCAAGCTTGTTCAAGGAATATGAAGGCTGTAGTTTAATTTTTGTTTCATTATTTCTTTTATGATATCCGTTCTGTTATCATTAGTTAAGTAGAATATATGTTGAAATTCTAAAAAGGTGTTTAGGTCAGCGATCATCATTTTCTCAGGGATGGAGAGGGTTAGAATTGTAAGCTGGGCAGAGAGTCTTGTTCTTTGGTAGTCTTCAAAAGTAACAATGATTACTTGAATATCTTCTTACACATTTTTAGGGGAGCGGACTGGAGTTAGTCAGACTTTTGGTCAATTACCGAATTTAGGAAGACAAATGGATTGAGTGGATAGGGTGGTGAAAATTTTATTGGTTTTTGTATTTTTGTAGATAATAATAACTTGGGGAGAATCTATGTTTATAACCAAAACATCCAAAAGAATATGTTCAGCATTAGATGCGTGACCTTTGGAGGCAGAAACTTCTCCAAGATCCTTTGTTTTTCCTTTAAGCAAAGAAATTTTTTCTTTATTTTTTGAGTTTCTTTATATGGTAGTTTTATTTAGATATGAAAGAGTTTTTATTGATTGTCATCTTAAAAGATTTTTTTAATCTAAATTTCTTCTAGTTTTATATATATTATTTATGGTTTGCTGAGTTATTTGCTAAATAGTAAAGTTATTTTTTTTTTTATTTATTTCTTCTATATATTTTTGGATATCTTCTTTTTCTTATATCTAGAAAATTAGTTACTTGTTTTTATTAATAAATTCTTTTTTCAAAAAGTTTCTTTTTTCTGTGACAATTTTAGTATATTATTCAAATAAGCCTTTATTTTATATTTAGATTCTTTTGAGATATTAGTTCTTATTGCTTCTAGTTTATAGTTTTTTTTCTTTTTAAAATATAAATTTATTAATAAAATTAGTTTTCTATTTTTAGTAAAATATGAGTTATATTCGTTTATACAATGCCTTTAATTTTTTCTTGAAGTCTTAATATATTAAACTCTTCTTGTTCTTAAATATATATTATTGTAATTTTATTATCTATTGTTAATTCAATGTTAAAATATTTGATTATCTTTATTAATCAATGTTTTGATCTATATGGTTTTTTTATATTTTTAATAATTTCCCAAAAAAACTATCTTTTATATAAGACTAAAGGAATCTTTTTAATTATCTTTTCCAAGTTATCAAAGATATAATAAATATTAAGTTAAAATTTATTTTTTATAAAAAATTATTTTATTGATTTCTAGTACCTTAACAATAATACTATTTATAATAATATATATTTTTAATATTGCAATTGTTTTTTTATTAAATTTGATTTGTTTTGTTGTAACAGTTATTGGGAAGATACATAGTTTTAGTTCTTATTATGTTTTTACAAGAGTTTGATTAAGATATTAACTATATTTTCTTCTCTTTATTTACTATCCATAGTACATATTGAGTTCTGTTTATATTTATTATTATATTATTTATTTTATATTATATATTTAGTATTAGATCTATTGTTTTACAAATCTACTTTTGGTTACTTGTTTATCAAGTATATTATTTTGTTTTTAAACTTTTAAGTTTATTTACTATTGTTATATTTTAGCTGATTAATATAGTATAAACATATATTTATTAATTATTTATCTATTTGTTATTTATTTTTTTTTTTTAATTCACAATTATGTCATGATAGCTTGTCTTTATTGAAAAATTAATATAAATCTATAATAATTTATAGATTTTTACAAAGTGACTAACTTATCTTCATATCTAAGTACTTTAAGTTAGATTTTGAAAACAATATTATACTCCTCTAATAGATTGGTAATGATTTTTATCTATCAGAATTATTGCTAATAGTTTGTTACTATTGATTGTTCAAAAATTAATTAATTGCTAAGTTAAAAAGAGAAAAGGAAAAAATGATTGAGAAAGGAAACAATTTAAGGCCCATCAAAAAAATCTAAAAATAAAAACAACCTCTTCTCAAAAGAGATCTGTTTGATTGGAATAGTTTTCTTGCTTTACTTGAACCTTGAAAGAAATTTTCTTTTTTATCACCTGTAGTATCAGATAAGTCAATCCAACTGATCTTTTATTTAAGTAAACATTGGATTGGGATTTCTCAAAGAAAGCATTTAGTTCTTAGCTTTTTCCATTAAAGCTTTATCATCACTTGAGGAACTTAAATAAAAGATAGAAGTTTGTAATCTATATTACTTTTCACTTGATCTTTTGATATCATGGAAGTTGAGGATAAATATTTCTAAAATTTTTTTTCCAATTACCAATAACATCATTAGAACACATGAATATGTCCAATATAAGCTTATTTATATTTTAAAAACTAATATGTTTCATGTTAGCCAATTATTTTTTGTAAGAATTTGTATTACCAAAAATTTAGAATCAAATTGAGGTAGGTAAAATTCTTCCAAAAACTGTAAAAGTGAATGCTTTAAGAGAATCAAGACAGTCAAAAAGGGAAAAAAGAAGTCTTTTTACTATAGAAAACCTCTATAAACCTCTCACTTAAAAGGTTAAATAAATCTTCAGGTACTTTATAATCAGTTCTTCATCCTTTGAAAACTTTTTTACCATTGGTATCAAAGGTGTTACTTGACTTTTCTTGATTACTAGGAGTAAAGTTTTTGAGTGAAAAGGTTTGTAAATAAAAGAAAAAGATAAAGGTAATTCTTGAAGTCATACTTCAAGTTGTTTTAAGAAAAGTATTAAGACTTTATTAGCAAAGAAATGTAAAAACTTCTTGAGAACATCTTTTTTATATATGGTTAGAAAATCAGTAAAAAGAGTTTTTTTTTAACTGTTTGTTATTATGTTAATTTGTATGAATATTTTAATGTTTAAAATATAATTTTGTTATTAAATTTCAAATATATGTTGTATTTATTTATATTGAAAGATATATCAAATAAATATTATTTTGTTTAAGTATTATAAAAACATATATAAGACACTTTTTTCCTACTTAAAGATATAGATAGTTATATAATATGATTGAAAGGTTATATAAAAACCTGGGGCCATTATAAGTTATTGCTTGATGTAGATAGATAAAAATCAATACTAAAAGAAAGATAGTAATAAACAAGACACTGAATCTAAATAAGTAATAAGTACCTCAAATAGTTACAAGAAAATAATTATGATCATAAATGGATAAGTTTTTTAGACAGTCAAGAAAAAAAAAGAATATTTCAAAAGAGTTGATTTCTAATAAGAGAAGATTTTTAATAAAAATCCTTTAAAGGATATGGAGTACTTTTATTTTTCTTTTTTCTTTTTCTCTTCATATATACATATTTATATATTTTTAGATATTCTTTTTCTTTTATTTTTTTTTCTCCTATTGTAGTTTCTCAAAATCAGTTTCTTAAAAGATAATAGGTAGTAACAACTTGTTAGCAATGATGGATAAGTTAGGAGAGTCCTTATCCAAAACTTATTCCAGAGTGAAATATTGTTTTCAAGGTTGCACTTAGAGGCTTAAACTTATTTGAGATTTGAAAGCTGTTAACAAGTGAGTCAATATAAAATTTAGTTTAGCCATTATATAATTGTTTAATATATCTCTATTAGTTTTCTTAAAGATTAATAAACACACTATACTGGCCTGACCATGGGTTTAAAAAAAAATTAAAAATAAGGGATACTCTTTCTACTGATCAATTTTGCTATTACTTTCAAAGTAATGTTTATTAGAAGTTTTATATTTCTATATTAATAAAATTGCCACACAAAACAACATGTGGAACAGACTTATATTGGAAGGGATCAGTAAAAACATCATCAAGACCATTAACAAATATAATAAAACTGATCGAATATCAGAAACCATGAAAAGTATCATAAATGATGTTAGATTTTGGACATACAACATATGGTTAGACAGGTGTGACTGTTTCTATCGATAGGAGAAACAATAGGGCATTACCACAAATAGCAAGCGAAAGAAGCAAAAACAACAAATGAAGAATAGTAACAAAGTACAACACGACATCTCCAATTTGAAAGAAGATCCCATCGAATTAATCAATAATATCCTTAAGGGAACCCATAGCATCTACAAGATATATAAGGAACATGCTAATGGTGCCTAGGCATGTTAGTCCCTATAAAGAATAACATGTCACAAGGATTCGAAAGTCTAAGCCCTGTCGCTGCTGGTAGCAGGTGCTCCTTGGATCAGGTAACAATTGGTTTTCTTATAATCATATGCAATAGACACATGAGAAAAATGTCTATGTTATTGTTTGTATAGAACCAAGTAACATGTATTTGTATAAAATCTCAATAAAATGAACTATGTTGCATGTTAAAAAAAAAAAAAAAAAAAAATTATAAAATTACTATACCATCACTAAATATACTTTATAAATATACTACAAAGCATCTCTTATCCAGTTTTATCTTTTCTTAATCCCTCTGGTTGACTTGAATATTAGTTTCAAGTCAAAAGTAAATAAGGTAGAAACTGGACTTCTAATAGTACAAAAGAATACTTAGGAAAAAGACTTTTAGTTAAAAATTCCTCTTTACAACTCTATAATAGGACAGGTAGATTTATAGAAAGAGTATTCACCAAAGATTATGCCATGTATAGTGGTCTTGTTCTCTAGGAAATTTACTAGACTCCAAGCTTTCTGAAGTGTATAAACAAATTTTCAATTTTTTTGAGAGAATTTTGCCTATTCCCTCTAGAATTTTAAAAATTTTTTTAAAAAAACTCTTTCTGTTAATTATTGATCACATACAAAAAAGATGTTCACAAGAAGTTTTATATTTTTTTGCTAATAAAATCTTAATGCTTTTCTTAAAACAACTTTAAGTATGACTTCAAGAGTCATTTCTACCCTTTCCTTTTTGTTT